CATTATTCACATACTTATTAATTAATTAATTATTTTCTTTCTTTCTTTCTTTCTTTATTTGGGGTGGGGGTGGGGGTCGAAGACTAGATTAGCCATTTTGAAAATACAAATTTAACCTTCACCATTTAATAGAACTTGTGATGTTTTTATGACCAATTTGTAGCTGAAAATGTTGCTAGCTTTAAACAACTTAATATGTTTACTTTACATCATGCAAACTTTAACGTTTCTGCTGATTTCAAATTACAGAATATCACTGTTTTAAATAAAAGTAATCTAGGAAGAGATAAAGCTTTCTTTCAAACATTTATACATACGTATGGGTAATAATTAACTTAATGGTGTGGTTTGCTTCTTCTTTGCTATCACACATCTATCGTCCTTATCTCTTCTCCTTCTTTTTATGTTTGTTACTCTCTTGTAACACCTCTAATCTTTTGGCGCTCATATGACCTTATGCAGTTGCGAGCGCCGTAAAACCTCTACTAAAACTAAAACTTAATATCCAATCAGTGGTTTAATTATTAATAATATGGATTCTTTGATTTATAAACTAAGTTTTGACTGATTTTTTATTGGATTCGAATATCGCTAGGGTTCTGTGCTGACATATTCCGCGGGGTACATAGTACACACCTGTTGGCGGTGATCCGGGCGAAGTAGAAGACCTGGTTCTTGTCGATGAGCTCAGTGGATGTCTGGACGAACCTGTCCACCGCCCCGAAGGCTCTGATCACGTGACAGCCCGTCAGGGTCTCGGAGAAGTGCGAGAAGATGGGAGACCTGGTCACAGACTCCAGGCGCTTCATCTGGCGGGAGGTGGGCACGAAGAATCTCTGTGGGAGGAGGACGGGGGGGGGGAGAGTTTGGTTTGTTTGTCACAAGATAGGCTGATAGGCTGACGGACAGACAGACAGACAGACAGACAGACAGACAGACGGATGAGGGAGAGGTTGGTGGGTTTGTCACAAGACAGCCCAGTTACAGATGACCACAGGAACAACTCATCTGTACAGCCCAGTACCAGATGACCATATAGACAACTCACTCACAAGTACAGCCCAGTAACAGATGACCAGATAGACAACCCACTCACAAGTACAGCCCAGTAACAGAAGACCAGTGGTATGAATCACTCACTTATACAGCCCAGTAACAAATGATACTTGTACAGCCAAGAACATGTAATAAATGACCGGATGGACAACTCACCTGTACAGCCCAGTAATAAATGACGCCTGTACAAATTACCAGATGGACAACTCACTCACCAGTACAGCCCAGTAACAGATGACCAGTGGTATGACTCACTCACCTATGGACAACTCACTCACCTGTACAGCCCAGTAACAGATGACACCTGTACAGACGACCAGATGGACAACTCACCTGTACAGCCCAGTAACAGATGACACCTGTACAGACGACCAGATGGACAACTCACTCACCTGTACAGCCCAGTAACAGATGACACCTGTACATATGACCAGATGATTAGCTTACTCACCTGTACAGCCCAGTAAGAGATGACCAGAGGGACGATGACCGCTGTAAAGATGGGTGTGTTTATGCTGATCACGACCAGAGTGGCCAGCACAGAGAACACACACAGGATGAACATGAACACGACCTGCGGCATCTGGTTGTCAAGCGTCTCCATGTCTCGAGAGAAGCGGTTCACGATTCGCCCCGTCGGCGTTGTGTCGAAGAAGCTCATGGGTGACTTGAGCACGCTGTCCAGCATTTTGGCGTGCATCTGGGAGGAGGCAGTTACCATGCGCAAGGCGGCAAGACAGGCGTAGACCAGGACGAAAAAAGCTGAAAGGG